AGGGTCAGCTAAGCGGGGCGGGAGCCCCTCGCCAGCCACCGCACATGGCAGCACGGGCAATGGAGCCGGGCTGTGCATTCGCACGGAACCCCTCGCCCACCCTCTGCCTCTCCATCGCCTCTGCTTCCGCTGTCCCTCAGAATTCACCTGTCCCGGCCCTCCGAGCCCGCTGATGTCAGCTGTCACAAGACTCTCAGATCATCACCTAGCCCGTGGCTCGGGGTGTAGGGAGCGGCTATAGGGTCAAGCCTCGGATTGACCTAAGTCAGGGCCACAAACAAGTCCCAGCTTGGAGGGCAGAGCCCTCTTAGCATAATTAAGCTGAACCTTACAGCCCTCCCTAGTTCCTTCCCAGGTAGCTAAAGGGCTGTGGGAGGTGCAGCAAGTGGTGCCAAAACAAGGTGAAACGCACAAGAACATTGTAAACATGGTGACCACTTCCCGTGTTCTGCTTTGTGTGCTCTGACTATACAATAAAGCCTCGGCTTGGAGGCTCGGTTTTTTCTGTGTCTTCATCCAAGCACAGGAGACCCACCGAGCCCCAGCTGTATTGTTTTCTTCTTTAATCCTTCACCGCCTCTCCTCAGGCTCACCCTTGGCCGTGCTGGCACGGCACATCTGGGCACTCCCCTTTCTGACCCCCACCCCAATTCTGAAAACCCTCCCACTGTTCCTGGGGGGTCTGCCCTCAGTACACCCCACACCTCCATCCTCACCGCCTTCCCCACCTGAAAACTGGCTCTCCCACTCCCTGATCCAGAGGGTGTGGGTGGCTCCCGGTCACTGTCGCCTCCCCGCTGTACTTCCTTCAGCTTGTGCCGAGGGATCCTACTGCACCAAGGTCTCGGCACGCCCCCATCTCTCTCCTGCCATGAGCTGGTCCCATCCCACCATGGCCACCTCCCAAACCTCACCGTTACCCTTTCCAGAACCTCTGCTCAGCCTCTCCCTCCACCTGCCTCGCTCTCTAGCCCCGGCAGCTCCCAGGACGTCCACCCCATCCGACCTGCAGCCAGGCACCTGCCCCCCCTGGCCTGGTCTCTCCCTCCCTCGCTGCCAGGCTTCTCCCAGGAGCAGCTTAGATCCCACAACCACTACAACCACTACCTTGAGAAGCTTCCAGCCCCCCTGCCCTGCCCTGCCCTGGCTTTGCTGGAACTAATTCCCTGGCAAATCCCAGCCCTGACTCCCAGCTCCCCACCGACCTCGCCTGCTCTCAGCCTGCTGAACTCGCCTGGCAACAACTCTTTTTTACGAAGTTTTCAAAAGTAAAGAGAAGAGTAGAATGAAGCTCACCTCCCGGACTAAACAAGTGGCAGCCCACCTGGCCTCGCCTCAAGTGCACACCCTCCCCTGGATGGGCAGGTCTGCCCAGCAGCTCTGCCACCTCTCAGTCCACTGACCCCTCCCCCTTCTGCCCACGACAGGCCCGGCATCAGGCCTTAAAGGACCAGAGAGGAACCACGCTGGGCTTCTCGGGCCAGTCTCTGTGCCACTGCTGAGCTCTGTGCACAGCACTGGGGCCCACGGAGCTGCACGCACAGAAAGGCAGCAGGAGGGCCACCCGTCCTGGGACCTCGCTGCTCCTCATCACAGAACACCCACATCCGGCACAGGCACCAATGAGAACGCTGCCCAGACCCTGGAAAAATGGGTGTGGCCGAGTGACACTGGCCAGCATGGTGGAAACGGACGTGGTCCATGTTGGCGCAGCAGGAAAAGGAGCAGGGCCCCGCAGTCGGGCTGCCTGCAGGTTTCTATGTGAGAAACGAAGTGTAATCCCATGTAAGCCCGTGGCGGGGTCTCCTTCCACAGCAGCCTAAACGCTCCCGATGCCGACTTTCCCCACTTGCTCCTGTGCTGGGCCTCGTCCTCCTCCTCCTCCCCTTCCTCCTCCTGACCCAGTTCCCAGACGACAGCTGTGCTTCTCCAGTAAACACCAGGGTGACGAGAGGAACCTGTCCTGGCCCGTGTGATGGTGACCTGCCACACACCTGTGCAGGGTGACCCCCACTCCTGCACCGACCCCGACTCCAGGCATCACTCAGCCACGACCTCTTGCAGCACCAAGTGCGTCTCTCCACCAGGTCACATCCACCTGCAGACGAGCCAGCACTGCTCCCACCTTGAAGTGCTTCTAGGAACCACAGTCACCGCAGAGATGCGGCTGGCCAGCCCCGGCCCAAAGCGCACCTCCAGGCAACCCCTCACTGAGTGACAGGAAACCACAAGGCTCGACCCAGCGCAGCCAGACGACACCGACAGCCCACAGGCAGGCTCCCTGGGACATGGCTGTTTCAGGAGCCCCCGGCTGTCCCCGGCTTCACTGCTTAGAGGCGGGATTCTGAGGGATGGAAAGATTTCCGGCTCCTCAGCCTGACGCTTCTGAGAAAGGCACACGTAGGCTCTAGGCTCGTAGAAACTGAACGTGAGGGCTACGGACTCACCACCTGGCCCAGAACCAAGCTACCCCGGGACACCTGAGCAGCACTCACCGGTGACATCTTCCGGATCAGATCGTGGGCAACGACCAGCAGGTCCCGGTCCTTCATCACCTTCCTGCGGAACTGGGCCGCGTCCCCGGGGTGCAGCACGTCCAGCTGCTCCGCGGTCTCGATGACGGCCTCCAGGCAGCTCCGCCAGGAGCAGAGCGCGGGGATGCCGGGGGCCGCGGCCGCGCTGACGCCCGTGCCGATCACCAGGAGCAGTTCCTGCGGCTGTTTCTGGATGAGGCTTTTTAAAAACTTTCTGCTTAAAAACCGGAGGGAGAGAATGAAAGTCCGCGTGAAAGGACGGCACCCGAACAGAAGCAGCGCATTTGGGGAGACGTGCAGGTGCTGGGTCCCGTCGGCCTGGCACACGCACATGCACGCTGCCCGTCTCCGCTGCTGCAGCAGGAGCGCTGTGTTCTCTGTCTGTCCTGCACGCTCCATCCTGTCCCACAGGGGCCGTGGGGACAGCAGCGCCTTGTTCATCGAGTCCCAGGGTTAAGCGCACAGGTAAGTGACGTGACCTCTCAACAAAAAGCACCGCCATTTTCATTCTCCGGAGCCGCAAAGAGCTCGGGAACAATGACGGCGAAATGATCCCTGCTTCCCGTGACGGGTAAAATCCTGGCAAACGCTGGTTTTCTGCCACTTACCCATCCCCGCGCTTTGCAAGAGCAGCGCCTCCGACCTGGCGTAACCTGGGTCTACAGCAGACTGCCCCCCGCCCCCCCCCCCGCGGCCACAGCCGTCTGAGCCGGGGCCCCCTGACCCTGCTGCTCCTGGGAGACCAGGTCCTGGTCACGTCCTGGGGCATTGCTGATGCTGACGCGGAGCTTACACAGCCCCTGCGACTCGTCAGACCAGCTTCTCCCCTCCCTCTCGCCGCGACTGAACAGGAGCTACCAACCTGCACCAGGGGGCGTTCACTTGTATTTACCTGGACTTTTGTTCACTTCTGTGTGTTGTCTTTTCCAGTGAATCCATCTGTGAATCCTAAAGAGAGAAGTTAGTCAGAAGCGACTTCCATTTCCCAGATGGAAGCTGTGTGGTTAGTGCGGGGAAGAGGGAAGGCGGGGGTGAGAGCAGGGGTCCTGGGCGTTCGCTTACACTGGGCACCTGAGAAGCGTCAGCACAAAACACGCGTCAGCGGCTCCTGCACCACCGTCCCTCCCCCGGGCTGCGGCTCCGGCCTCTGCTCCGGACAGGAACGGGGCGGCCTGTAGCGCCTGGGGAGCGTGCTGGGTCCTCACGCTGCCCCCCCCCCCAGGGCTTGTTCCCGAAGAGCTTCCACCGGAGGAAGAGCCGGCGAGCGAGGCGCGGCGCAGTGCAGGCGGGAGCTGTGTGCTCCCGGCACCGGGTACCGCGTCTGCCGGGGCTCATGACCCTCAGCCAGTTCCCAGATGCCAGGCCTCCCCGTGGCCGTACTGACATCCAGTCCAAAGACATCATCGCAGTCAGAGGGCAAGCCCTGGCCGGATGGCTCGGTGGGTTGGAGCGCCATCCCGTACACCACAAGGTAGCGGGTTCAATTCCCAGACAGGACACATACACACCTGGGTTGCAAATTTGATCTCCGGACGGGGCGCATAAGGGAGGCAACCAATCGATGTTTCTCTCTCACATCAATGTCTGTCTATCTGTCACTCTCTCTCTCTCCCTTCCTCACTCTGAAATCAATAAACGGTCAATTCTCCACTTACACAAAACAAGACCTTAACCAGCTAGGTCGCCATTGCCAAACTATCTCCACATTCTATCATTTTCCCAGAATCCCATCCCCCCTAATTCCAGAACTATTTACTGGAAACAAGAAAATATACAGAAAAATAACGTCTAAAAAAAGCCCTGAATCCCACCACGAGCAGCAGCTGTTATCACATGTACATGTTCCCTCCACACATTGCTCTTTAAATTGCATGCTCATTTGAGACCACTGTTCACATCCTCTTTTCATGCGTTAGAACCAAGCACTTCCTGTATGTTATGAGCATGATTCATAGGTGTCAGTGCACTGCCACATCCTGGAACCCTGCCTCCCCGACATGCCATCATTTCCTTTATCTACATCCCCAGCCTCCAATCCTCATGCAGGACGCTGCCAGACACTCTAACCACCACCCTGTGCACGAAGTGTCCCCACCTTCTGAAGGGATGTATGAGGAGTTCCCGAGAGGCAGGATTGCTGAGTTACAGGATGTGAGCCTGTAAAACACGCCAGCTCGCGCCACCAAGCTGCTTTCCAGACGGCGGGCAGCAGGGTATGTAAGCGCCTCTCTGCGGTATCCTAACCAGCACGGGGGGTGGGGGGGGGGGGGGGGCGCGGACCACCGTTTTAGATGTGTCATCTTTTCTCCCTCAGTTAGAATCAGGTCACCTAAAATAATCTTCCAAGAACCGTTTCTAAGCACATTACACTTCAGAGCACACGGAGCCTACAATGTCCCCGAAGATGCCTACACTCTGTCACTAGGTGTCACCCAGGGGAAGGGCTCGGAGCTTCCCCCAAAGGCGTCTGCGACTTCCTCCAAGCATGAGGAACCCCGTTTCCGGCGATGAGAACGGCTCACTGATGCCAGCCAGCTGCCCGGCAGCGGTCAGGCAGGTGCGGGGCCCTAGCCACCCCTCCCACCAGGGTCAGATGGGTTTTGACTCTCGGTCAGAGCACATACTTAGGTTGTAGATTCGATCCAGAGTCAGGGTACGTATGGGAGGCAACCACTAGATGTTTCTCTCTCACATCAATGTTTCTCTCCTCCCTCCCCTCTCTAAAATCAGTAAAAAATATATATACATATATATGTATGTATATATATATATATATATATATACACACATATCTACAGGAGACTGACTTCAGAAATCTATCATTGATTAATTAAAAAATAAAAATCTCTAATTCATTTAATTATTGTTCAACTGCTTTTGATCCTCCATACATTCATGGTTATAGTGACACACTGAAAAACTGAACATTGCACGTACACATCTGCAAAAAGGTACGAACAATGTAAACTTTTATGGGCTGGACTGAACTCCTCATCAAGTGATTTCAGAGCTTCCCGAAAGAACAAGTTCTCGCTCCGACAACTGAGCCCCTGCGGCGAGCATCGCCGGCTGGTTGCTGGGTAGGGGCTCCAACCTCTTCCTGGGCCTGAGCTGGAGGCTGGAGCCGGCTCAGCTTCACACGGAACCTCCCAGACTTGCACTGACGTCTCCCGGCAGGCTGAGGGGCCGCCGCGGAAGCACCAATTATCCCGCAGCTCCGCTCCGCTCCGTGACTGCAGTGAGGGCTCAGCTGCCCATATTTAGGCATTTAAGTTCGTGCAAGAGGACCTTACAAGACATTACCTCATTTCCTGTTCTCCAGCAGCACGATCAGAGCCGCATCTCCGTACCCTAGAAAGCACTCCAAACCTCTCCTGTTTGCACACAAGGCCAAGCAGGAGACACCCAAAGCCCCGAGCACGGGACCCTAGAAGTTCTGGACGCACAGCGAGCCCGCATGTGCTCCCACCCAGCTCTTCTAGGCCAGTCGGGTTCCAGATGACATAACAAACGCCTCCAGGGACTTTCAGAAGCTGCATCTTTTGGTTTCCTTGGTGATTCTGTTGTCACCAAAGCTTGCAGGGCCAACGCCAAGTCATCACAGCAGCCCATTTCTTCCCAAGGACCCAGCGGCGCTTTCTGGCAGCACCATGGGCCTCGGCACCGATCCGCGTGAGCAGCTCCTGCCGTGTTACCTAAGCCCAACCAAGTCTTAGCAGGACGCTTTCTGCTTCACTTGTGAGATTAGGAGTATTTTATGAACTAGCTTCCGAGTAGCCGGAGATTGCTTTATTCTTTGAATTCCCAGCATCCAGCACCAAATAAATGCTCATCAAACTGAGTCCCGATGCTTAAGAGAGTAAACTATAAACACCAGCTGTCATTTACAGCTGGCAAAACAAGCCCCGCCCTCCACTCCCTAACCCCACCGTGCTAGCCTGTTAAAGACCTCCACCCTCACCACTGCGCCCCCTGGTGACCATACCCTTATATAGGCCCCTCACCCACTGACTCTAGGCTTGGTCATGTGACTTCTTTGGCCGATGGAGTATCAGCAAGCAAGCAAGCGTTTGATAAGTGCTTTGCCCTGGTGTCAGCCTGGGCACTGAAGGGCCGGGGGTTCGATTCCCAATCAAGGGCACATGCCTGGGTTGCAAGTTTGTTCCCAGGCCTGTTCAGAGCACAAACAGGAAGCAACCAATCAATGTGTCTCTCTCACATCAATGTTTCTCCCTCCCTCCCTCCACCCCTCCCTTTCACTCTCTCTAAAAGTGGAAAAATATCCTCGGTGAGGATTAACACCACCATCACAACAAAGAGTTTGATAAGCTCTGACGCGAGAGCCTGCACTCCTGGGAGGGTGAGCCAGTGGTGAGCCCCAGCTCCGGAGCTGACAGCCCAGCCCCCCACCCCCACCCAGCCAGGGACACAACCTACAACCAGCTAAGGCCCTGGCCTACAGAACCGGGGGGTGTCAGATGCACTCGCCACCCCCGTCTCCACAGCCATGACGATTAGAAGGATGAGAAGGAAGACAAAAGTGTCAAGAAAACAATAGTGACCCACAGCAGAAACGAGGGACTGCTACGTAGTATAAACGTGCTGCTTCCAGCAGACCTGAGACTTGGAGATACCAGTTTAAGTGTAATCCATGTAACCGGTGTCCTTCCTGAGGACTGGGATGTCCTTAAAGGGGCCAAAACCCATCAACTGTACTCGGACCACCTGGCAGGTCTGGAAGCCTGGGAGCCATGGAGCAGGCACTCCCCAGCCCCCCACACACACTGACACTGCAGGAGCCTCACACCATGCCCCCCGTTCCTCTGGTTGCATCCCCACAACTGCCCTTCTCCAGGCGCTCTGGTTCCGTGCAGACTCGGGAGGGGCCCCAGGAGCAGAAATCACGGAAACAAGAGCAACTCTTCAAGTGCGTCTGACAAGCACACCTGCGACCACCAGTGTCCCCTGTGATGTAGCTATGGTTTCAGGGGAGTTCGATGAGCATGAGTAGGTGCACCTGCACGGGAAACAGGTGCAGAGGGACCACGAGGAAGCTTCCAGAACTGCCAGGGACGGCAACCTCTCCACTGGAAGCAGCGCGGGCCCCACGGGGAAGAGCACAGGTCTGGAGGCGAGGAAACCCCGCCACTTCCCCGCCGGAGACCGCTCTGAACCTCAGTTTCCAAATCTGTCAAATGGAAAGTCCACTGCACACACCACTGACGCGCTGTGGGGCAGGCGCAGAGCTGAATGTAAATGCTGACCTGCTCCTGCGGCCCTCAGCAGCCAGCGCTCTCCCTCGCTGCAGCTCACTTTCCCACGCAGTCACTAGAACTGCAAACTAATGCACCCACTTGCGGGGGGAGGAGGGGGTGTAAGAGGATATAGGGGGAATAAATGGAGGTGGAAAAATTAATTTTTAAAAAATTTAACCACAGTTCTGATAAAATGTAACTCCTTCAATTTACAGAAAACACAAAAGCCTTAATTTGAACACATGCTACTAAACCGATCACTTTTATTGAGTCAATGAATCACGATGGGGGCAGAGAGAATGTTCATTTTGTAATAATCAAAATGTGCTCACTTGCTTCTTGAAACCAGTGCCTCCAGAGTTGCTTGGGCATAAATGCTCAAACCAAGAAAAGAACAAAATTATGAATAAAAAATGTAAAGGTCACAGTTTAGTTCAAAAAGCAACATTAATGATGGCACTTGGCGCCCTGAATGGGGTGAAGGGAAAGTCCTGAGCATTTTACACGCCTGGCCCCCAGCCACCCTCTCCGTAACCGAGGCGTGGCCTCTGCCACCGCTCACCGGGCCGCGCCACTCAACCCTCTCGGAGGCCAACCACCGTGGAAACAGTCACGCACGTTTTCCCCTGGTGTCGGTGCAGCTCAGACTGGCACTCAAATACACTTGGCATTTTACTGGGAGCCCTGCCAACCGATAAATCATTAACTGCTTTACAGTTTGTCCATCAGCTCCGACACGTTGCATAATTCAAATAGACGTGTTCCTAGCGATAAGCCAATAATGGTCAAACACACCAATTCAGAGGCCAGCACTCATCCGTCCCACGGGAAACCAGTGATGCTCTAGATTCTAGAAAGCAAACCTCCGACTCAACTTAAAGGGATAGACTCCTGGAGCTGGAGGGATCCTAGAGACCATGCGATGCCAAATGCCC